TGTATTAACACTCAAATGCAGGGCATGATACTGAAATTAGTAAGCACTGTTTGCATTTATTAACTTATCTTACTTTGTAAAATAATAAAGTCTTAGAGTGGGATACAATTTAGAAACCTTGTCTAACTTTTCCTGTGTTGCTTCTCACACGGGGGTAAGAGTAGCCCAGGGGTGTGCAGCAGTTTGCTAGAGTACAAAGTGGTTGAAAACACTGATTCTGGAGCTGTATTCCCTAGGATCTAGCTGCGTGTCCTTGGGCAATTTACTTACCCTCTCTGTGCCTTGGTTTTCTCATCTATGAGATGGAAATAATGAAAGTACCTACCTCATAGGACTTTTAGGATTAATAAGAGAGTTAATATATATCCAGTGCTTAGAACAGTACCTGGCACATTGAGTAGGCAATATATGGGTTTTAGTTATCAATTGTAACATGCGAGTGGGGGACTAACACAGCTACGAAATAGAATACAAAATCACTTTTTTAAAAAAAAGAAATAATTGCCATTCTAATTGGTGTGAGATGGTATCTCATTGTGGTTTTGATTTGCATTTCTCTAATGACCAGTGATAATAGCTTTTTTCTTTGTTGGCCACATAAATATCTTCTTTTGAGAAGTGTCTGTTCATATCCTTTGCCCGTTTTTTGATGGGTTATTTGTTTTTTTTTCTTGTAAATTTGTTTAAGTTCCTTATGGATTGTGGATATTATTAGCCCTTTGTCAGATGGATAGATTGCAAAAATTTTCTCCCATTCTGTAGGTTGCCTGTTCACTCTAATGATAGTTTATTTTGCTGTGTAGAAGCTCTTTAGTTTAATTAGATCCCATTTGTCAATTTCGGCTTTTGTTGTCATTGCTTTTGGTGTTTTAGTCATGAAGTCTTTACCCATGGCTATGTCCTGAATACTATTGCCTAGGTTTTCTTCTAGGGTTTTTGTGGTTTTAGGTGTTACGTTTAAGTCTTTAATCCGTCTTAACTTTTGTATAAGGTGTAAGGAAGGGGTCCAGTTTCAGTTTTCTGCATATGGCTAGCCAGTTTTCCCAACACCATTTATTAGATAGGGAATCGTTTCCCCATTTCTTGTTTTTGTCAGGTTTGTCAAAGATCAGATGGTTGTAGATGTGTGGCATTATTTCTGAGGCCTCTGTTCTGTTCTATTGGTCTATATATCTGTTTTGGTACCAGTAGCATGCTGTTTTGGTTACTGTAGGCTTGTAGTATAGTTTGAAGCCGGGTAGTGTGATGCCTCCAGATTTGTTCTTTTTGCTTAGGATCATCTTGGTTATATGGGCTCTTTTTGGTTCCATATGAAATTTAAAGTGGGTTTTTTTTTTTCTAATTCTGTGAAGAAAGTCAATGGTAGCTTGATGGGGATGGCATTGAATCTATAAATTATGTTGGGCAGTATTGCCATTTTCATGATATTGATTCTTCTATCCATGAGCATGGAATGTTTTTTCCATTAGTTTGTGTCCTCTATTATATCCTTGAGCAGTGGTTTGTAGTTCTCCTTGAAGAGGTCTTTCACATCCCTTGTAAGTTGTATTCCTAGGTATTTTATTCTCTTTGTAGCAGTTGTGAATGGGAGTTCACTCATGATTTGGCTCTCTTATTATTGGGGTATAGGAATGCTTGTGATTTTTGCACGTTGGTTTTGTATCCTGAGACTTTGCTGAAGTTGCTTATCAGCTTAAGGAGATTTTGGGCTGAGACAGTAGGGTTTTCTAAATACACAATCGTGTCATCTGCAAACAGAGACAATTTGACTTCCTTTTTTCCTGTTTGAATCCCGTTTATTTCTTTCTCTTTCCTGATTGCCCTGGCCAGAACTTCCAATACTGTGTTGCATAGGAGTGGTGAGAGAGGGCATCCTGTCTTGTGCCAGTATTCAAAGGGAATGCCTCCAGCTTTTGCCCATTCAGTGTGATATTGGCTGTGGGTTTGTCATGAATAGCTCTTATTATTTTGAGATATGTTCCATTGATACCTGATTTATTGGGAGTTTTTAGCATGAAGGGGTGTTGAATTTTATCGAAGGCCTTTTCTGCACGTATTGAGATCATCCTGTGGTTTTCGTCACTGATTCTGTTTACGTGATGGATTACATTTATTGATTTGAGTATGTTGAACTAGCGTTGCATCCCAGCACATGTATCCTAGAACTTAAAGTATAAAAAAAAAAAAAGAAAGAAAAATAATGAGATTTCCAAGAAACTTTGTACTTTCTTTAGGCCGTTGAAATCAGGCAACAGATGAATAAATTAGGCAAGTAAGAGGCAGTGGCTTTACAGGAAAAAGATCAGCTATAATTCAGCTTAGACATCCCTGTGACTATGACCCAGTGATTTTTATTACTAATTGGCCAGTAATTTCCGATGCATGGTAGCTTACTACCTAATGAGTTGATTCGTCTGTTGGACAGAATCCATTGTTAGAAAATTCTTTCTTTTGCTGATCTGAAATCTATATCTTTTGTTACTGGCCCTGGCTTTGTTTGTTGTTTTGTTTTGTTTTGTTTTGTTTTTTTGGCATAATACTTAGTAGGCCTGTTGGTTGTATTGCCCCATTACGATTTACTACTTCAGCTTACATGTCTCTAGTTTCCTTGGTCCTCCTCCATATGGCATGGGTTTTGAACCCTTTGTCATCTTGGTTATCCTTCCCTGGGTATAATTTATCAGTATTTCTCTTAAAATGCAAGACCCAGAGCTAGTAACTGATCATGTTTCACTTAATCTGCCAGCGTGAGAGGTTGCATAGTAAAATGTGCATTTTAGGGCAGACTATATCATTAATTGTTAGTCACTTTGAGCCTAGTTTTCCTCAAATAGAAGATTATCCAACACTAATAAAAGATGAGTAACAAAGCTTTCTCGATATAGGAAATTTTGATATCAGTAAAAAGAAGCTAAAATATTTTGCTTTCATGAGAAAAAAAGTGTATCAACCTTCATGCTAAAAATCAAATTCTTGCTAATGTTGATGTTAGTCAACTCATGTGAAAATCTAAGGAAAGCATTGTAAGATCATTTCAGTGACATTGCACTTAGTATTATTTATATACACTTAATAATATCTTGGGGGAGGTTAGCTTTATTGCCTTTAATAGTTTCCTTTAGGTATTGCGTTTAGCTATTTATATTTGATGTCTATATTCTAATTTAAGTATTTGTTATGAAGAATAACTGTCACCCATTTTACTGATTTCCTGGTATGACCAAATTAATCTTAGTTTTCCTAAGTCTGTTTTTTATAACCTCACTATTTTGATTTGAAAACGTTTCCAGAATCTTGTTTGTGGTACTCGATCTGTATTCAAGTCTCATGTGTACCACTGAGAAACCTTGGGTTCTCAGGCAGGTCATTTAACTGGCCTATACACACACTTCTCCTTCTGCGTAGTGAGAAGCTTTTACTTCTTAGATTCTCCTCCTCTACCCCATCCTCTATAGGAGCCAGAAGAAATTCAAACTCACCTCTGCCCATATCTTCAACCTCTTTCTTCTGCGCAATACCTTTTATCTATCCTGGCTGCTCAGGTTTTTTCACAGCACTTCACAGTTTATGTGTGTTTTTGCTTTATTTACTTGTTGTTTGTTTCCCCCTCTGGACTAGATGCTTGATGGGGGCAGATAATGTATTTTCATTCACTGCTCTAAAACCTAATGCGCAATAACATGTGTTGCACGTAAAAGATGCGCAAAAAATCCTGTGATACTGCTATTACTTTCAGATAGGCACGCAGCTTTTCTTTCTCCTGATGTAGTGTTTATTCAGTTCTTTCCGGCCACTTGGACATTCATATTAAAATGAAATTTTAATTTTAACTTGGTAAATATAAATTACATGCCATATGAAGACTCAAGCTCCAGATATGTCAGTTTCTGTTGTATTCTTTGTTGATACATTTCTAGAATAGTTTTAAAATGATTACAGAATGTTCCTAGTGATTTGTTGTTTGAATATGACTTGGGTAGCCTTGGCCTATCCGTACTATAAAATGTGACTCTAGCCTAAGCTTAAGTATGTTGATGTATTTGTTGTGTAGGTGCCAAAAATGTACTCCTTTTAATAGTGTCAATATTGATATCTGTCATCTGGAATGCAAGAATCTTCCTGAAAATTTGCTAATAAATGTAATACTCCTGCCATACTGCCCAGAAATAATTTGTGTTTTTTTTGGGTGAAGTACCAGAATACCGTTTGGTCACTTACCTAGTGGCTTAAAGGAACCAGAGCATCTATCCAAAGGAGCCATTTAGTTTCCTCCCAGCACTTATGATTGAGCCTTTTTTGACTGTTTCAGAAGTGAGACTAGAGAAGTTCGTCTTGTTCTTTTGTCTCTTTTGAGGTTGAAGTTTAGGAGATTGACTCATTTTGGCCATTTTCTTGTTTCATTTTTACTGTAGGCAGTAACTGGGGCTAAAGCTCTGGGGAGGCACTTGGCTATGCTTGCTGAAGTATTTCCATAGTTGGACTGTCTCTGGCAAATAAGTAAATTTCATTTAAAGCTTTTCAAAGCTGTGTAAATCTTGGCAGAACCCCATAGAAAGCATAGCATATAGTTCCTTTTAAAACAACTATGTTATTAAATGAAGAATTTGGGGAAAGCATATTGCTTTAATGGTCTTAATACCATTTAAAAAGATCCTTCTACATTAATGTTCAAAATGTTTTCTAGTAGTGGTGGAAATCTTCTGCATCTACCAGTTCAAAGGTAGGCTTTCCCAGTCTTTTGGGATCTAGCAAGGATGTTTAGTCTTACCTGCAACTGTCCCTGCAAGAATGTAGATTTGAAGTTTTTAATAAAGTTGACCTGTTCATGTATTTTTGGTGAATTAAATAGAGGAGAATGGCATTTGAGTAATCAGAAAATACTACCTTAAAATAATAAAAATTATTTAGAAAGTGATGGCATTATAATGTTTTCAGAGTGTAATGATGTTAACTAAATTATCCAGTTATTGACTACTACTTTTTTTTATACCTATCCCCAGGGAAGGAAGAATATGCAAGATGGTGCAAGTGATGGTGAAATGCCAAAATTTGATGGTGCTGGTTATGATAAGGATCTGGTGGAAGCCCTTGAAAGAGACATTGTATCCAGGAATCCTAGCATTCATTGGTTAGAGTCTTTGAAATTATTGAATTAAAGTAGAGGAGAACACAAGTTATAGGTTGGCTTGGTGTGAGTTTTCTTTTGTTATTCATTAATCTGATTATGACCACCTCTGTAATATGAAAGTATAGAATTGACGGGAGAGTTCTGTCGAATGTAACCAGGACATTTTACATGTTAATTTGAAGTTGATATATAACTGACGAAAGTTGTTAATTCAGTGACGTGTCCTCGTTAATAACTGATGTTTTCACTGATGTTTTTATGCAGTAAGAATTAGAATAATATTCTTAATATGAGAACTATTTCATAAGTAAAAAAAATTAGAAGAATTAGGTTTGACCATAAATCAAAGATCCCTGAATAAACATTATAAAACTTTGCTGTTCTTTCAAAGGGATGACATAGCAGATCTGGAAGAAGCTAAGAAGTTGCTAAGGGAAGCTGTTGTTCTTCCAATGTGGATGCCTGACTTTTTCAAAGGGATTAGAAGGCCATGGAAGGTGAGAATTTATTAAATTGGTTTTGGTATAAGAATGCTGCTTGCACAGAATGAAAGGCAGCATTGCTGTAGTTTTTTATGTATTTAACCCATTTTGAAAAGGTTGGGAGAAGTTTATATACACCCAAAACACCTGGATTTGAATTTGTAGTTGTGATGTGTTACATCTGCATAGTAGGAGAGATGGGCTTGGAGTGTTGAAACTATATAGTCTTTAGGTCACTTCTCTCGGGGATGCTGGGCTAGAGATTAGTTTTAAGAATTTTCTGGATGTATGGTTCTGTAAATAAAAAGCAGATTAAGCAGAAATAATGCCTAGTCTTATAGAAGAAAGGTGTAATCAAACAGTTATTTTTCAAAAGTTGGAATATTTCTCATTGATGGTTATTTTGTTTTACTTGTCACTGACTTGAAGCTCATTGTTAACTATTTTATAGACTACATTTGCTATATTTTGAGTTTTCACAAATGTTTTTTCTAAAGAGAGGTCTTTAGCCGTGTTTTAAAAAACGACTTCTTGACTGGGTACCATGGCTCACCCCTGTAATCCCAGCACTTTGGGAGGCTGAGGAGGGTGGATCACGAGGTCAGGAGATCGAGACCATCCTGCCCAACGTGGTGAAATCTCATCTGTACTGAAAATACAAAAATTATCTGGGCATGGTGGTACGTGCCTGTAATCCCAGCTACTCGGGAGGCTGAGGCAGGAGAATCGTTTGAACCCATGAATTGGAGGTTGCAGTGAGCCAAGATCGTGCAACTGCGCTCCAGCCTGGCAACAGAGCCAGGCTCCGTCTCAAAAAAAAAAAAAAAAAAACCCCACTTCTTATGTCATTACAAAATATCTGACTTTATTAATTTGTTTTGTACTTGCTGTGCTTTTGTAGTATTTATTGGCAAACTGGCTTAAGAAAATAAGATATATTTCTAAAGAATCTTTTTCCTGACCAAATAATTTTTTTTCTGCAACAGCAGAATAAAATTCTTGACTAGAACTATTATTATTTTTTAAAAGATCATGTTTGAATTTTTTAGGGATTTGTGAGAATAGAATAGATTATTTACTAAAATGGGACAATAAATTTATTTTATTTATTTTTTGAGACTGAGTCTCACTCTGTTGCCCAGGCTGGTGTGCAGTGGCATGACCTTGGCTCACTGCAACCTCTGCCTCCTGAGTTCAAGTGATTCTTGTGCCTCAGCCTCCTGAGTGGTTGCAATTACAGGTGCGTGCCACCACGCCCAGCTAAATTTTGTATTTTTGATAGAGGCTGGATTTTGCCATGTTGGCCAGGCTGGTCTTGAACTCCTGGCCTCAAGTGATCCGCCCACCTTGGCCTCCCAAAGTGCTGAGATTACAAGCATGAGCCACTGTTTCAAGCCTGATAAATGTATTTTAAAGAATACATGAAAATAAGGAGACCTCAGAAATTTTTCAGGTTTATAAAATTTGTCTCAAAACGTAAATTCCAGAATTTCAGAACTGGAATGAGTCTTTGAGATCATCTTAAATCCCCATTATTTGACAGACTAGAAAATTGAAGTCCAAATAGGTTGTGACAATCATAATAGACCTTTTGAAAATTGAAAATTCAATGTGTCTCAGCTTCTTCTGTTTATATGTGCCTTTCCCTCCACAGCACACTTTCTCCTGCATTGTGTGATACCATTCCTTTATCCTTCAGGCATTTACTTAGCCCTGTTATACGTAAGGTTCCTTGTTTTTCAAGACATAGTCCCTGAGCTGTGAGACATCCTAAATAGAGAGTTGGGCAGTTACAGATAGCTTTCAGTGTTAGGCACTAGCAGAGCCTAATGGGTAGTACAGTCCACATGTGCTTGGAAAGCTCAGCAAAGCACAAACATGACATGATTAGAGAAGGCTTTATGCTTGAGGACGTGGGATTCAAGCTGCAATTTGTAGGGTTGTGAGGATTTCACTGTGTTGGAGAAGACATTTTGGAGATGTAGGAACTTGAGGGGGATGAATGACGTGAGCAGTGGAATATAGTGAGAAAGTGTAAGTGTGTTCAGGAATAGATGCGTTGATGTTTTGTAAGGAAGGCAGCGTAGAATATTGGTAAGGGGCACAGATCCTGGATCCAGACTGGGTGCATACGAATTCTAACCATTTCCACTTATTCTGTGATCTTGAGGAAGTTATGGAACTTCTCCATGCCTCAGTTTCCTTATCTATAAAATGGGAATAATAATAGTTATCTCATAGGATATAGTGAGGTTAAAATGAGTTAATGAGGCCGTAGAATTATGTAAATGTTGAAAAAATAAATTAGTGGAAGATTCCAATGGGAAGGTAGGTTGAGGCCAGACTGTATTTCTCAGGAGTTCGATTCTTTTTCTATAGATGTTTGGGAGACGTCTTTGAGCAGGTAGGTAGCATAGTTAAACTGGTGAGTTGGAAAAAAAAGTCTGGTTGCAATGAACACAGAAAGATGGGAGGCAAAGAGCGTGTGCAGAAGTGATTGGCAGTAGTTTAGGCTTAAAATTCAAAGAGCCTGAATTAGGATGGTGATTATGAATTAGGAATGGAAGGACAGATGCTAGTGATATTTACTGAAGGAAGTTGGTAACCTTTTGGATGTAATATATATGTCAAGAAGAAGGCAGGGGCAAAGATAATTGGGTTTTGCCTGTGGCAGAATAGTGATGATAACATAAATGTGGAGCTCAGGAAGGAGAAAGACGCTGGTTTATTGTTCCTGATGTTGAAAGTTCAGTAGGAGCAGGGGGTGTTTCTGGAGAAAAAGAGATGGAATTATTTTTGAGTTTTAAATTTTGGTATAATATTAACGTGGAAATGCACCAAGTTAGAAATACAGGGCTGGCCAGGTGCAGTGGCTCACACCTATAATTCCAGCACTTTGGGAGGCTGAGGCGGGTGGATCACGAGGTCAGGAGATCGAGACCATCCTGGCTAACATGGTGAAACCCTGTCTCTACTAAAAATACAAAATTAGCCGGGCGTGGTGACGAGCGCCTGTAGTCCCAGCTACTCGGGAGGCTGAGGCAGGAGAATGGTGTGGACCCAGGAGGTGGAGCTTGCAGTGAGCCGAGATCGCGCCACTGCACTCCAGTCTGGGTGACAGAGCAAGACTCCGTCTCAAAAAAAAGAAATACAGGGCTGAAGCTTGTGAGAGAGGTAAAATACGGAGATATTAAGTGCCTTCTCAAAAATACGTATCTCTAGGATGAACTTTTCTGTAACAGAATAATAGCAAGGTCCTTCTTTATAAGTTTTAAGATCAGATTATGTGATTTTTATAAAGGCAGCATTTAAAATTGTACTTAGAAAATAAGGAGATGCCCAAGAAATAGACTAGTGTATTTTCAGTGGCTGAAGTATAAACATATGCTTGAATCACTCTTACATTGAGACTCTAGCCATCTATCCATTTATCATCCAGCCTATCTTAGCACTTCTCAGACTGCGTCATAATTTATCTATCTATATTTTCTAATAGATTAAAAGTCTCTTGAGGATTTATGTGTGATTCCTGACAAATTCAATTTTTTTTCCTCAGGGTCTAGTACTTAGTAAGCATTGGATACATTTACACTGGGTAAATACATATTTATTGAGTATTTACCTTGTGTCACGTGATAGACTAAGTGCCGAGGATACCAAAATGAGTGAATAATAATAGCCCCCAAGAAGCTCATGGTCTTTGGGTGAATAAGCATGTATTTAATGGAGGCCATGTGTTAAGTGCAGTATTTGTTGAGGACAGTGTTACTAGTGTCTGAAAGAGTAATGAACTCACTGCTATGGCAGGAGAGAGGAAGAGGGACTTAGTCTGCTGTGGAGAATAATATCAGGGATGGCCTCCCAGAGCAGGTGACTCTGAGCTGAGACTTGAAAGATGAATAAAAGTTAAACAGGTAGATGTGATGAAGAAAGGCTCTAAGGCAGAGCGGATATCATGTACAAACACATGAAAAGTGTAAGAGAACATAGTATATGTGAGGAATCTTCTGTAGTTCAGTGCGGCTGGAAGTATAGAGTGTTTATATGGGACATAGTAACAAAAGATACTGCTGGAGTGGTCGGTGTGACCTACTTCTCACAAAGAGCCCTGCGTGCCATGCTAAAGACGTCAGTGAGCCACTGAAGAGTTTTTAGTAGAAGGGTATTTGCAAGTATAGGAAGATACCTTTTCTGTAGCAGTATGGAGGATAGGTTGGGGATGGACATAGATGGACATGAAAAAGTAATCTCATCAGGAGGCTGGTGAAATAATCCAGCCAAACAATGAGGACAGATACCTGCAGAAAGGCATGGGCTTTTTGGTTAGTGAAAAATCAGTGGATTTGTGAGAGATGTTTAGAAGGTATAAGCGACTGACTGTTTACAGGGATGTGGGGGAGAGAGAAGTTGTATGACTCCCAGATTCCAGGCTTGAATTGAACAACTTGTGACATGACCTACCTAGAGTTGGGCCAGACTTCACAGGTTGAGAGCCCAGTTTTCCGCAAGACTGCCCTCACTTCAGACACTAGTTGCAAACCTGGGAGTCCCTGGGTCACTCTTACAACCAGCTGGCTGCAAATTCAGGGGTTCCCACTACCGTCTCAGGTTTGGTAATTCTCTAGAACAACTCACAGAACTTAAGGAGGCCTTACAGTCGAGCCCAGGACAACACAGGCATGAACATCGTGGATCCCTACACATGGCTTTTCTTCTGCCTCTGCCGCCCCAGAGACAACAAGGCCAACACCTCCTTTTCCTCCTCCTCCTTAGCCTATCCAAGCTGAAGACCTTTAAGGTGACACACTTCCATTTAACGAATAATAAATATATTTTTCTCATACTTTTCTTAATAACGTTTTCTTTTTTCTAGGTTTATTGTAAGAATACAATATACAATACATATACAAAATATTTGTTTACAGTTTTTGTTATCAGCAAGACTTCAAGTCAACAATAGGCTATTCATTGTTATGTTTTTTTGGGAATCAAAAATTATATGCAGATTTTTGACTGTGTAGGGGATTGGTGGCCCAACCCCTGAGTCGTTCAGGGAGCAGCTGTACTTACAATGATATTGTTATTGTAGCCAAAGGATATAAATCGGAACCAGCCAAAAGGAGAAACTTACAGGGCGAGGTCTAGAAGGATGCGCAAGGTGACGCTTCTTTCACCCTCTCTTCCTGGAGTCAGGATGCTTTACTCTCCTGGAAGTGTGACAATATGGAGATCATGGCACCACATGGACGTGTGGTAGTACTGCTATAGTTTGGGTATGGTTTGCTTATTTGTCCCACCAAATCTCATGTTGAAATTTGATTCTTGAGGTGGCGGTGTTGGGAGGTGGTGCCTAATGGGAGGAGTTTGGGCCATGGGGGCAGATCCCTCATGAATGGCTTGGTGCCGACCTCATGGTAATGAGCATGTCCTCACTCTGTTCATTCTCATGAGAAGTGGCTGTTGCCCCTCTCTCTTGCTTCTGCTCTTGCCATGTGAGTTCTGCATGCTGCTGGCTCCCTTTCACCTTTCCCTGTAAGTGGAAGCAGCATGAGGCCATCACTAGAAGCTGAACGGGTGCAGGCACCATGCTTCCTGTACAGCCCGCAGAACTGTAAGCCAAATAAACCTTTTTTTCTTTAAAATTACCCAGCCTCAGGTATTTCTTTGTAGCAACACAAATGGACTAAGAGAAATACATAGAGTATTGCCAATTAGGGACGCTCACGTGATCAGTTGAATCATTGCCCATGGTTCTTAATCTCTTGTTCTCTTCCTCTCCCCAAAGGTTGAGTTGATATCACATGGCTCAAAGCCCCAGCTCTGTAATCACATGGTTGGTTTTCCTGGCATGGTCACCCCCCATCCTGAGTTGTCTTGTTGGTGTTAACTATATAGGGGCCCACCATGAGTCACCTGATTAGCATAAAATTTCAGGGCCTATTGTGATAACAAAAATAATCCTGTCGGTAGGGTATTTCCAAGGTTTTAGAGACTGTTTTCCAGGGACCGGGGACAAAGGCCAGCTAAATTCTTTATTATACAGGGTGCAGGGAACTGATATTGGAAATAGAGAAAGGAGCAGGTTTAAATAGAAACAAAATGTGTTTCAGTAAATACTCAGCAGCTAATTCGAAATAGAGGCCGGGAGCTTCAGATAAGAGTGTGAGTGTAAAATTTTGAGATAGAAAGGTTGGTTGATGATATGGGTATGGATGAGTTTGTTCAGGAGTTTTTAAAGGGAAGGGTTTAGAATTGCTTTGGGAATGTAAAGGGCAGAGGAAAGAGGAGATCTGAGGCGGTGAACATAGCCAGAGAGCAGAAGTGTCAGGAAAAGGGCAGTGTCAGGGTTTCAAGAAGAGGGGGATTAACACCATGTATCAGCAGCGTCAAAGAGAAGTCAGGGAGGCCCGACTGAAGAGTGGTCATTAGGTTAGTAAATGAAGTAGTTTTAGTGAATTGGTGAAGACTAAAGTCATGTTGTAGCTTATGAAGAAGAAATAGCATAAACCATTGAAGGTCGGCTGTGAGAGGAAGGAGAGGTTGATAGTAGCTAGAGGATTTGTAGAGTCAAGTGAAGGATTTTTTTTTTTTTGGTGTCAATTTTATCTATCTTTTTAAAACATTTGTGTTTTTGAATTGATACATAATAAATGTACATACTTTTGGGGTTCATGTGATAATATATTCACATAATTTGTAAAGATCCAATCAGTGTAAATGGGATATCCACTACCTTTAACATTTGTCTTCATGCTAAGAACATTCAAATTATTAAATTATTCTCTTCTAGTTATTTTGAAATATACAATAGACTATTGTAAACTATGGTCACACTACTGATCTATCAAGTTGTATTCATTAATCAGCCTCTCTTAATTCCCCCTTGACCCCTACCCTTCCCAGCCTCTGGTAACCATCAGTCTATTGTGTCTTTATGAGATCCTTTTTTAGCTCCCACAAATGAATGAAAACATGTGATATGTGTCTTTTTGTGCTTGGTGTATTTCACTTAACGTCATGACTTCCACCTCCATCCGTGTTGCTGTAAATGACAAGATTTTATTCTTTTTATGGCTGTATAGTATTCCATTATATATACACCACATTTTCTTTCTCCATTCATCCATTGTTGGGCACTTAGGTTGATTTCATGTTTTGGCTGTTGTGAACAGTGCTGTGATAAACACAGGAGTGCAAATAACTCTTCAGTATATTGATTCCCTTTTTTTTTTTTCTCTTTTTTTGGATATATACCCAGTAGTGGAATTGCTGGATCATATGGTAGATCTACTTTTAGTTTTTTGGGGAACCTCCGCACAGTTTTCCACGGTGGCTCCCACCAGCAGTATAGGAGCATTCCCCTTTTTCCATATCCTCACCATCATCTGTTATTAGCTATCTTTTTGATGAAAGCCATTTTAATTGGAGTGAGATGATCTCATTTTGGTTTTGACTTGAATTTCTCTAATGGTTAGTGATGTTGAGCATTTTACGTCTATTGGACGTTTGTATGTCTTTTGAGAAATGTCTGTTCAGACCTTTTGCCCATTTTAAAATTGGATTATTTGTCTTTTTGCTGTTGAGTTGCTTGAGCTGCTTATGTGTTCTGGTTACTAATCCCTTGTCAGATGGATATTTTGCAAATATTTTCTCCCATTGTGGGAGTGTCTCTTTGTTGTTTCCTTTGCTGTGCAGAAGCTTTTTAGTTTTATATAATCTGTTTATCTGTTTTTGCTTTGGTTGCCTGTGCTTTTGAGGTCTTACACAAAAAATCTGCCTGGACTGATGTCCTGTAGCATTTCCCCAGTGTTTTCCTCTAGTAGTTTCATAGTTTCAGGTTTTTAACGTTTTTTGATTTGATTTTCGTATATGGTCTTTAATCCATTTTGATTTTTGTATATGGTGAAAGATCGGCATCTAGTTTCATTCTTCTGTATATGGTTATCCAGTTTTTCCAGCAACATTTATCGAAGAGACTGTTCTTTCCTTAAGAGCTTTTTGTAATGTGACAGATTAAAGTGTATTTGTATACCGAGGGGAAAGAGCCAGTAGACAAAGAGATACAGGAAAGAGAGAAATTAATTAAAGGAGTAATGTCATGAGAAGGTGAAGTTTATAAATATCGTACAGTAGCTATGAACCAGATGCAAATGTTAGAAATGAACTCCTATAGGAGGTGGCCACGTTAATGGCATTACAGGATGGCCCTCTCAGAGAGAATGGAAAAAGGCATTGCAGAAATAAGAACTTTGCTCTGGCTATGCCTATAGCATCAACTGATCATTTTCATGGTTTTTAAAATCTCAACCTCATGCAAAGTTGAGGGCTCCCTAACAAAACAAAAAAATATTTTTGTAAAACTAATGTTTCAAATCTTAGTGATTCCTGGTTGATCTGTGTATCAAAATTCTATAGCTAGAAAAGCATTTGGACAGTTTCTGAATTTGGAGTTTATGGAACTTTGACATACACATAGTTTTCAAAGCTTAAATCCCCAGAAGCTTGTCAAACCAAAGTAGCAATTGGATCAGAATTTCTCTTAAGGAATCACCAAATATTATGCACAAAAATTTAGTGTGAGCTATGTATTTAAACTCTATTAAAAGCACTGGAAGAAAATAATTATTTAAGAACCCATTAGTTTTTTAAGACTAGAGGATTGGTTTCCTTGAATAATTTTTATTCCTCACTGATTTGTTTTTATAGAATACTTTTATGTTTGCTTTCAAAACTAAGAAGTAACTAAAGTTTGGTTTTTATTCTACATTTACTGGCTCTTTCATCACTATCACTGTTTTATATAAACTGTCTAACACTTTAAAATGATACAAATCTTGCTAATTTGATTATGTTTGAATCACCACTGGATTTTTTACTGTTACCTTGTTAACTCATAAATGGGTCTTTATTTTTTACTGAAAGCTGTATATTATAAATGCACTGTGGAAGATAGGTTCTGTCCCTTATAGAGGGTAAAGAATGTGTAATTCTGCCACATGTGATAGAAAATGTCTTATTTTTAATATGTGTAAACAGAATAGTTGCTTTTAAGCAGTGCTCAGTATTATATGTATATATCATATACCAGGTTCAGGAAACTGAGATTCTATCTAAATATATGAGAAAACTGTTTGTTGTCTAGGCTTTTTGTTAGATTGTCTCTGACTACCTCTGACTTGAGACATTTTGTGAAATTTCTTCATTTTTTTCTAGCTATAAAATGATACTCTTGCTGAATGCATCATGATTTTACTGTGACAATTTTGAGTTTATCTTTTGATGGAAAAATCTTAATGTACATTAATAGCTGATGATAATTTATAAAACTTTTTTAATCTGATAAATCATTTAATTCATCTTTTGAAATGTCAGGGTGTACTGATGGTTGGACCCCCAGGCACTGGTAAAACTATGCTAGCTAAAGCTGTTGCCACTGAATGTGGTACAACATTCTTCAACGTTTCCTCTTCTACGCTGACATCTAAATATAGAGGTGAATCTGAGAAGTTAGTTCGTCTGTTGTTTGAGATGGTGAGTGATGATAAATTCAGATTTCAAAGTAGTGTGTGTAGGCCTATGATGCTCCCATAAATCAGTTCTGTCCACCTGCAGTCTTTTTTTGAAAAGGGCAGTGTAGTTCTATTTTAATAGTTCTTGATACACTGACGAGAAATGGGATGATGAGTTTTGTGGGGTAGTTGGTGTATCTTCAGTGTGTCTTTTTCTTTAAGGTACAACAAGGCCTTTTGGCATCCCATCCACTGAGGGTGGAAGAAGAGACTTTGGTTGTGTGTGTGGGTTGACTGGTATTTCTACATCTCTAGTGAGCTGACGGAAGAGAAGAATATTTTAATATGTATTTTAAAAATCAGAGCCTGACCTGTCATTAAAGTTTATTCCTTTTTCATATGGGATTTGCAGTAACTTAAGAATGTATATATGAGGATTGAAGTTGACTTATTTTTAAAAAATTTTTCATTATGGAAATTTTCAGACATGAATGTAGAAAGCATGGTACAATGAACCCCTATGTATCTATCACCCAACTTCACCAGCCATATAACCTTTATTTTCAGAAATTTCTTTTTTCTCATGGGAGTGATTGATTTAGCCTTTGCCATAACCAGATGATGGCATTAAAACAGAAGTTTCGGCTCTCTTTTGCCATTGCTTTAAAAGATTTTTAAAAATACTCTGATTGTTTTATAAGCTTATTGAATGATTTCTTTAAAATATTTTCATAAAGGCTAGATTTTATGCCCCTACCACGATCTTCATTGATGAGATAGATTCTATCTGCAGTCGAAGAGGAACCTCTGATGAACATGAGGCAAGTCGCAGGGTCAAGTCTGAACTGCTCATTCAGATGGATGGTAATTGATATTTAATTATTGTTTCGAAACTCTTATTTTTCAGTATTTTGTGTAAACTCATAATGGATGGATTAGAAGGCAACCTAAGTTTAATTGTTTGTTCATTCACTCATTTGTTCATTTGTTCATGCACCCAGAAAGCATTGCTTGCATACTTGTTAGAGATCATGCACCATTTCAGGTTCTGAGGTTACAAAGAAAAAGGCTACTATGGCCTTCAAGGAGCTTACTATTTGGAGCAAAGGTTCTAGAGGCGTGATCTAGAGTCCTAGGGATCCTTGAGACCCTTTAAAGAATCTGCAGGGTCAAAACTATTTTCATAGGAATATCAAGTCATTGTTTGCCTTTTCTTTTTCACTCTCATTCTCTCACAAGTGTACAGTAGAGTTTTCTAGAGGCTGTAAGATGTAGGGTCTCATAAAAGGTAGAAAGCAGAAGCAGATATGAGAATCCAGCTTTTCTCTAGTTAGACATTAAAGAGATATGCAAAAATGTAAAAAAAAAAAAAAAAGCCCCTCTACTTTTTAAAAATATTTTGGAAAACATACTTTTCATTAAAATATGTAAATAAGTAATGAATTTATCATTTTTTAAGTGAACTAATATTTTTAAATTTCAATTTTAGGTTTTTTCTTTTTTTTCTTATAATTTACCCATGTACCATCTATTTTAAGTTTTAAAGATATTGATAGATACACTCCACACACAAAAAAGCTGTTTGGGGTTCTCAATAATTTTTTTTTTAAGGTTCAGAGTCTTGCTCTGTTGCCCAGGCTGGAGTACAGTGGCGTGAACACAGCTTGCTGCAGCCTTGACCTCCTGGGCTCAAGCAATCCTCCTGCCTCAGCCTCCTAAGTAGCTGGGACCACAGGCGCATGCCACCACATCTGGTTAAGTTTTATTTTTTTGTAAAGACAGGGTCTCGCCATGTTTCCCAGGCTGTAGTTGTACTCTTGAGCTGAGGTGATCCTCTGGACTCAGCCTCTCCAAGTGCTAGGATTATAGACATGAGCCACTGCATGCAGCCTCAGTAATTTTTAAGAGTATAAAAGGGTCCTGAGATCAAAAAGTGTGAGAACCACTGATCTGGATGAGAAGCAGGCGACTGATCAGATGAGTATAATACATTTTGGTACATTCTGGGGTAGAAGTAAAGTCTGGGTGCAGTGGAAACACAGGAGAGGCACCACCAAGACTAAGGGGGAGTCATGGAAAGAGATAGCCGAGTTGGACTTTGAAGCATTGGTAGGAGTTATCCAGACAGAGAAAAAGGGCCCTGAGGAGCCTTGGAAGGAAGAGGGTTATGGGCTCAGAGCTGCCGTTTAGAGATAAGTTACTCTGGTAGTTAGTTGTGTGGTAGACAAGAGGCTGTTCAAGCAAAACATTAGAACAGATAAAATATGTTTAAAAATATCCAGGGTGAGGGACTGAGTGCAGTGGCTCATGCGTGTAGTCCCAGCACTTTGGGAGGCTGAGGTGGGAGGATCACTTGAGGCTAGGAGTTCAAAACCAGCCTGGTTAACATAGCAAGACTTTAAGCAACAACTTTAAAAAGTAGCTGGGTGTGGTGGCACGTGCCTGTAGTCCCAGCTACTCAGGAGGCTGAGGTGGGAGGATAGCTTGAGCCGCAGGAGTTGGAGGCCACAGTGAGCTGTAATTGTGCCATAGCACTCCAGCCTGGGCAACAGAGCAAGAACCTGTCTCATAACAACAACAACAAAACACCAGTAATATCCAAGTTGTATTGTTTCAAAACAGTCATGGTTATTCATCAACTGTGGATACTTACTGAATACTTATAACGTACTATGAGACCCTTCCCTCAGTGAGTTTACCATTTTAACTTTTGCTAAAATATGAGAGAAAGGAATGAGTATGTTTTATTTTTGAGGTGGAGTATAGGGGAAAACATTAGGTGTTTAAAATAGGAAAAGGAAATTACTGAATACAAATTTAGTCAGCTGAATTTCATTGAGGGATATTTGTGATGATTGTTGATTATTAGTTGGACAGCTTGATTCTTTGTCATAATGATTGGAGTTTAGTAATAAGAAAACAGTGAGCTAACATCATGCCGGAGCACTCCAGCCTGAACAACGGAACCAAACCTTGTTTTTTAAAAAAATAACTATATTGAGCTATAGGTTGCCTCAAATCCACTAGTACTTTTTTATGCCAGACTAGAAAGTCTTATCAGTAAAGTTAACGGGTTTTTTATCTTTTATTTTTCACTACATATTTTCTAGAGTTTCTGTTGTGTGACCTGAAATTTTTTATTCTAAAAAGGAGACACTGTGTACGTACGTGTAGTTGGTTTGGTTATTTTTATCTGTGATTACCGGGTTCATTCTTAAATGTCTTGTTTATTTTTTACAAGTCACTTAAAAGTTTAAAGGACAACATCATGGAAATATAACCTATCTTTCAAAATTATAATTACATGCTAGAATATTAAGTAAATGTGAACCCTCTGTTTTCACTTCTTGAGAAAATAGACTAAAAACTAAAGTTAGAATTTTTGTGGAACTTTATGATTTCAAAGAAATAAGAGGAATAAAACAGAGCCTAATCTCCTATGCCTTTTCTTTTCAGGGAAATATACATTCATTTTCTTACAGAAAAATTGATATTTTTGTTGGATTAAAATCCTGCACTGGGTTACACAAAAAAAAGAAAAAAGAAAAGAAAAATCCCACACTAGGTTATGTGAACTCTTCTACTTCTTTGTTTTGTAGTTATCTGTTGATGAGTCTGGTTTTGCCACCACACAGAGGTCAGGACTACACTGTCTTCTTCATCATTGATTCTGCCACTTTGGCTAACAGAAATGTTAACTGAATGAAAGAATAAAGGGTTGTAAGAAAAACACTTATCTTTTCCTCCCTTACTGTGTATAGGAGTTGGAGGAGCTTTAGAAAATGATGATCCTTCCAAAATGGTTATGGTATTGGCTGCTACTAATTTCCCGTGGGACATTGATGAAGCTTTGCGAAGAAGGTTAGAAAAAAGGATATATATACCTCTCCCAACAGGTATGATGCCTTCTCTATTTTGAGCTTTCTGTTACTTTCTGTTATCTTTCCCATGTATCTGAATCTTTATTCCATTGCCATTCTGCTTAAAGAAATTTATAGCATCACAAAACTAATTTGTAGTAGATGTGAACACAGGCCACAGTACTCTATTGAAATTTCTTACATTTCAGAGAAATTCTTAAATTTGGAACAATATTCATGTTAATAAATATAGTAGTACTTTTAAGTTTTCACTTTTAAACTTGAAGGTTCTTTAAAATCTTTTTCAAAATATACTGTTTTGGAGTGAGTGTGTGTGTGTGTGTATTTTTATTTTTTTATTTTTGAGACAGAGTCTTACTCTGTTGCCCAGGCTGGAGTGCAGTGGCGTGATCTGAGGTCACTGCAACCTCCACCTCCTAAGTTCAAGTGATTCTTGTGCCTTAGCCTTCCGAATAGCTGGGATTACAGGTGTGTGCCACCACACCCAGCTAATTTTTGTGTTTTTAGTAGAGACAGGGTTTTGCCATGTTTTCTAGGCTGGTCTTGAACTCCTGGCCTTAAGTGATTTCCTGTCTCGGCCTCACAAAATGCTGGGATTACAGGTGTGAACCACCACACCTGGCCTGGAAAATATAATTTCATCCTGTTAATGAATGCTGAAATTTCCGTACATGAATTTTTTCTTTTTATTTTGAGGTAAAATGTGCATAGAATGAAATGTACTTAAGTATATAATTTGAAAGAGTACAAATCAGTACTCCTGTTTAATCAATACCCTAATCAAGATGTAGGGCATTTCTATCATCCTATAAAGTTCCTGTGTGCTCCTACCAGCTAACCCTCCAATAGGCATTCGCTGTACGTGATTTTTATCACCATAGATTAGTTCTTTCTGTTGTTAAACTTCATATAAATGGAATCATAACAGCATGTGCTCACTGTGTCTGGCTCCTTTCACTTGAGGTTCATCCATGTGATCACAGGTATCAGCAGCTTATTCCTGGTTTGATTATACCACAATTTCTTTATTCTCCTTTTGATTGGTATTTAAGTTATTTCTAGTTTTTTGGCTATTATTAATAAAGCTGTAAACTTTCTTGTACATATCTTTTTTATGGATGAATGTTTTCAATTCTTTTGGATAATATAAGAAAAGAAAGGATGGGTCATAGGGTAGGCATATGTTTAGCTTTTATAGGAAATACCCAAATTATTTTTCAGAATGGTTGTACCATTTTGTATTCCATCATCAATAAATGGTAATTCAAATACTTCCGTATCATTGCCGACATGTGGTGTTGTCAGTATTTTAATTTCAGTCATTCTAGTAAGTATGAAATGCTGTCTCATGATTTTAATTGGTATTTCTCTGATGACTTACGTAGAGTACCTTTTTATGTGCTTTTCATGGTCATGGTATACTTTTTGTGTAGTGTCATTTCTTTTTCCCAGTTTTTAATTGGATTATTTGTTGCTTTATTAATGCTTTTTATGTTATTAGGTCTTTTCATTGTGAATATTTTCTTCCAGTTTGTGGTTTGCCTTTTGATTTTCTTTATGGTATCTCTTAATAAGTAGACATTTTAAATTTTGATGAAGTCCTGTTGACAATTGTTTTAAATGAATAGTACTTTTAGTGTCTTAAGAAATCTCATCTTTCCCAAAGCTGCAAAGTTTTTCTCCTGTTTTCTTTTGGAAACTGTATTTATGTCTGTGATTCCTCTTGAATGAATGTGTGCATGTGTGTGTGTGTGTGTGTGTGTGTGTGTGTAGATGAGTAATTTTTTTCATATATACAGTTGTAGCATCACTTACTGAAAGTTTTCTTTTTTCATTGAATTACTTCGGCACCTTCATTGAAAATTATTTTATTGTGTATGTGTGGGTCTATTTCTGAATACTATTCTGTTCCATCGTTTTTTAAATCCACACACATGGTTATCTAAGTTACTTATTTTTTTCTTGAGCAAGCTTTGGTAACTTGTGTCTTTCAAAGAATTTGTCTATTTTTTATAAGTTGTCAGATTGTTTTGGATTTGACCTAATGTGAATGTGGAAGCTGATTAAATAGTTATGGGAGGTGGTGGATTTCATGTCTGGTTCTGGAACTTGAAGTCAATAAGGAGGGCACTTAGGAAGAGATGATGAATGTGAAGTGGTAGAAGTAAGGACACTTAATTGTTCCACCTGTGGAGGTGGAATCCATGAGGATACATTGAAATCTGTGTTGAACTCTTTTTTCCACTGAGACTCCTTGATGAATGGGCTTTCCGACAGAAGAAGCTAGCTAAATGTATACCTGGCTCAAGAGTCAAGAAAGCTGAAGGGGCCGGGCGCGGTGGCTCATGCCTGTAATTCCAGCACTATGGAAGGCCGAGGTGGGTGGATCATGAGGTCAGGAGATCGAGACCATCTTGGCTAACACAGTGAAACCCCGTCTCTACTAAAAATACAAAAAATTAGCCGGGTGTGGTGGTGGGCGCCTGTAGTCCCAGCTACTTGGGAGGCTGAGGCAGAAGAATGGCGTGAACCCGGGAGGCGGAGCTTGCAGTGAGCTGCGATGGTGCCACTGCACTCCAGTCTGGGTGACAGAGCGAGACTCCATCTCAAAAAAAAAAAGCTGGAGGAAGAAATGTGGCAGAAACTACAAAGAGCTGAAGGTGCAAGTGCTGCCCCACACTAACAAGGAGAACGGAGAACCAAGAAATAAGTGACAGTATGGGTCAGCTTTCTGAGATGATTCATTTTTGCCTTTCACATCTCAGACATAACTCATGTGGTCCACAATAACCCAGAACTATGCAATAAAGAGAATTCTGGGAAATGAAATTCCAGCTTCACTTAAGTTGGCATAATACAAATCTACATACCTTATTTTCCTTTTTTTGGCCATAGGATCTGTAGTGATGGCTCGTTTTTCATTCCTAATATTAGTAATTTGTCTCTATTGTTCTTCATAATTTTTGGTTGAGGTTTATCAATATTGTTAATCTTTTCAAAGAACCAAATGTTTGCTTGATTAATTTTCTGTTTTCTATTTCAGTGATTTCTTCTCTCTTTAAAACAATTTTTTTTGTTATACTTTGAGTATAATTTTTTCTTTCTGAAGTTAGAAACTAAGATTATTGATTTTAGGGACAGCCCTCTCCCACTTTTTTTTTAAGAGACAGAATCTTGCTCTGTTACCCAGGCTGGAGTGCAGTGGCATGATCGTAGCTCACTGCAGCCTCAAACTTTTGGGATCAACAGATCCTCCCACCTCAGCCTCTTGAGTAGGGACTGCAAACACATGCCACTGTGCCTGGCTCATTTTTTTTATTTTTATTTTTTTGTAGAGACAGAGGCTTGCTGTGTTTCCCAGGCTGGTCTCAAACTCCTGGCTTCAAGCAGTCCTCCCGATAGCACTGGGATTGCACATGTGAGCCACTGCACTTGGCCTTTTTTTCTTTTTTTAATGTGTACATTTTAAAACTATAAATTTCTCATTAAGTACTGCTTTGCTTTTATCTCACAAATTTTGCTATATCATTTTTTTCTATTAAGTTAGAACTGTTTTGTAATTTTCCTTTTTTTTCCCCCTTTCTTTGGTCCTTGAGTTATCTAGCATTTAAATTGGTTTGGGAGCCAAATAACTGGGGTATTTTCTAGATATCTTTTTGTTAATTTTTAATTTAATTCCATTGCAGTCAGGAACATACTCTGAATGATGTCAATTTTTGAACTTCTTGAGATTTGCCCTTCAGCCTATAGTCTATCTTGGTGAATGCTCCAGATGCAATTGAATAGATTGTTTATTCTGAGCTTGTTATAACATTCTATAAATGTCAGCTAGTTGAAGTTGGTGTGATAGTATTATTGCAATAATAAGATCCTTGCTGACTTTTTAATCTAGTTTTTCTATTAGTTACTGAGAGTGGCTTATGGAAATCTTCATCTGTGACTGGGAACTTGTTCATTTCTCCCTTTAGTTCTTTCAGTTTCTGCGTTACGTTTTGCTTCATGTGTTTTGATGTTCTGTTGTTAAGTAAATAAATTATCATTGTTATATCTTCTTGGTCCTGTTACCACTATGAAATGCCTCTCTATCTCTGAGAATACAGTTTGACTTGGTATCTGCTTTGACTGCTATTAATTTAGCCTCACTGTCTTTCTTTTCCTATTGTTGGTGTGCTAATATGCTTTTCATCTTTAATTTTTACCCTAACCTGTCTTTACATTTACAGTGCAGTTTTTATAGATAGCATATAGTTGGGCCTTGCTGTTTGTCCAGTCTCTCTCTCTTTTTTTGTTTCTTCGTTTGAGTTGGAGCCTCACTCCGTTGCCCAGGCGGGAGTGCAGTGGCGCAATCTCAGCTCACTGCGACCTCTGCCTCCCAGGTTCAAGCGATTCTCCTGCCTCAGCGTCCCAAGTAGCTGGGACTACAGGCATGTGCCACCATGCCTAGCTAATTATTTTGTATTTGTAGTAGAGACAGGGTTTTGCCATGTTGTCCAGGCTGGTCTTGAATTCCTGAGGTCAGGTGATTTGCCCACCTTGGCCTCCCAAAGTGCTGAGATTATGGGTGTGAGCCACTGTGCCTGGCCGTCTCTGCTTTTTAATAGAAGTATTTAGTCCATTTAAATTTAATGTAATTAGTAATATAACTGTGTTTAAGTCTGCCGTCTTGCTATTTGTACTGTTTGTTTCTCTGTACCCCCCTTGCTAATTTTTTTTGGGCTAATTGACTGTTTTTACTATTCATTTTAATGCCATTAGTGGATTTTTAGCTGTAGCTGACTGTATTTATTTTAGTAGTTGCTCTAGCAATTACAGTATGCATAATTTTATATAGTTGTGTGTGCTTTTATCTTTTAAATTGTATACCTAAATCAAAAGTGATTTATATACCACCACCGTTATAGTACTACAGGATTCTGTACGTATCTTATATTTACCTTTATTAGAGAACTTTATATTTTCATTTGCTTTTGTGTTGCAGTCTAGTATCCTTTTGTTTCAATTTGAAGGATTCCATTCAGCAATTTTTGCAAGGCAGGTCTATTCGTGATAAACTCCCTAAGTTTTTGTTGATCTAGAAAGGTCTCCTTCATTTATTTCACCTTCATTTTTGAAGAGCAATTTTGCCAAAATAATATTCCTGGTTGGCAGACTTTTTCTTTTAGTACTTTGAATATATAATGTCCCTCCTTTCTGACTTGTGATGTTTCTGCTAAGAAATATGTTGATATTTTATGAGTGCTCCCTTATAGATGACAAATAACTTTTGTTGCTTTCATGATTCTGTCTGAATTTTGACAATTTGATTATGTGTTTCTATGGTCTTCCTTAGGTCATCCTACTTGGAGTCCTTTTAAGCCTCATGAATTTGTTCATTTCTTATATGGGCATACCTTGTTTTATTATGCTCCTCTTTATTGCACTTTGCAGATACTGTGTTTTTCACAAATGGAAGGTTTGTGACAACTATGAATTAAGCAGTTCTGTGAGGGCCATTTTTTCAACAGCATATGCTCACTTTGTGTCTCTGTCACATTTTGGAAATTCTCACAGAATTTTCTCATAGACTTTTCACTATTTTCAGATATTTTCTGTTACAGTGATCTGTGATCAGTGATCTTTAATGTTAGTGTTGTAATTGTTTTGGGGTACCACAAACTATGCCCACATAAGATGGCAAGCTTAATTGATAAATGTGTGTTTTATGACTCTTCCTTTCCTCAGGCCTCCCCATACCCTCAGACACAACAATACTGGAATTAAGCCAGTTAAGAACTCTACAGTGGTCTCTAAGTGTTCAAGTGAAAAGGAAGATGCAACTCAAGTGAAGGAAGAATTACATCTTCCTTTCCATGTAAAGGAAGACATTATATGAAATCAGAAACTAGACACAAATAAGCTTAGTGAGGAAAACATGATGAAAGCTGAGATACACCAAAGCTAGACCTCTTATGCCAGACAGCCAAGTTATGAATGAAAAGGAAAAGTTCTTGAAGGAAATTAAAAGTGTTACTCGAGTAAACACATGAATGATAAGAAAGTGAAACAGCCTTATTGCTGATATGGATAGAGTGATCTGGATAGAAGATCAAACCAGCCACAACATTTCCTTAAGCCACAGCCTAATCCAGAGCAAGCCCCAACTCAATTCTATGAAGGTTGAGATAGGTGAGGAAGCTGCAAGAAAAAAAAAATTGGAATCTCAGAGGTTGTTTCATGAGGTTTAAAGAAAGAAGCCATCTCCATAACATAAAAGTTCAAGGTAAAGCAGCAAGTACTGACACAGAAGCTGTAGCAAGTTATCCAGAAGAACTAGCTAAGATTCCTTTTGAAATGCTACTGCTTACTGACAATGCACCTAGGATATATCATCTTTGATGGAGATATATAAGGAAATTCATGTTGTTTTCATGCCTGCTTACACAACATTCATTCTGCAGCCCATGGATCAAGGAGTCATTTTGACTTTCGAGTCCTACTTTTAAGGAATACTTTTCGTAAAGTTATGGTTGCCATAGATGGTGATTTGTATGATAAATCTCGGCAAAGTAAATTGAAAACCTTCTAGAAAAGAATCATCATTCTAGATGCCATTAAGAACATTTTTGATTCATGTGAGGATGTCAGAACATCAGTCTTAACAGGAGTTTGGAAGAAGTTAATTCCAACCCTCATGAATGACCTTGAGGGGTTCAAGACTTTGGGTGGAGGACGTCACCACAGATGTAATGGAAAAGCAAGATAACTAGCATTAGAAGTGGTACTTGTAGTTGGGACTGGATTGCTGCAATCTCATGATAAAACTTGAACAGACAAGGGGTTGCTTCTTACAGATGAGCAAAGAAAATAATTCTTGAGGTAGAATCTCCCGTGAAGATGCTGTGAACATTGTTGAAATAACAACAAATAATTTAGAATATTTTATAAACTTAGTTGATAAAACAGCAGCAGATTTGAAGAGAATCAATTCCAATTTCAAAATAAGTGCTGTTATGGGTAAAATGCTATCAGACAGCATTGCATGCTACAGAGAAATCTTTCATGCAGGGAAGAGACAACTGATACAGCAGACTTGACTGTTTTCTTATTTAAGAAGTGGATACTGCCACCCCAACCTTCAGCAGCCACCACCCTGATTCATCAGCATACATCGACATTGAGACGAGACCATCCACGAGCCAAAATATTACAACTTGCTGAAGGCGGAGATGATTGTTAGCATTTTTTTTTTTTTTTTAGCAATAAAGTATTTTTACACTAAGATACCCATTTTGTAGATGTAATGCTATCGTACACTTAATAGACTACAGTATATTGTAAATATAGCTTTTGTATGCATTGGGAAATCAAGAAATTCATGTGACTCACTTTATTGTGGTGATCTGCAACCAAACCTGCAATATCTTCGCATTTAGGAAGTTTTTGGCTATTATTTCTTCAAAAAAGCTCTTTGTTTCTCACTCAATTCCTTCTGGAGCTTCCATAGTATGTATATTGATCTATTTTATGGTATCTAAGTCCCTTAGGCTTTCTTCACTTTTCTTCATTCTTTTTCTTTTTTGTTTCTGACTTGATTATTTCAAATGACCTGTCTTTGGGTTCACTAAGTATTCTGCTTGATCTAGACTGCTGTTGATCCTCTTTAGTGAATGTTTCAGTTCAGTTACTGTATATTTTAGCTCCATAATATCTTTTTGGTTCTTTATATAGCTTCTGTCTGTTAAATTCTTATTTTGCTCATGCATTGTTCTCTTGATTACATTTAGTTGTTTTTCTGGGTTATCGTGTATTGTGCTGAGGTTCTTTAAGATGATTATGTTGAATTTTTTGTCAGATAATTCTTAGACCTTTGTTTTTTTAGGATTGATTCCTAGAAATTAATTTTTTTCCCTTTATTGGTATATGTTTCTCTGTAACATGTGCCTTGTTTTTTGTTGTTGGGATTTCTGCATTTGAAAGAATAGCCAGCCCTTTCGATCTTTATGAACTCACTTTGTACAGAGGAAGACCTTCACCAATCATCCTGGCTGGAGATTCTGAGGATCTCTCAAACCTTTTGTGGGGCTATTGCCTCTCTGGGCTTGTGCATGTAATTTCCCAATTAGAGAGGTTTTCTGATTTCTTTTTCAGGAGCTTGTAGTCTCTGTTGCTCCTTCTGTTATCTATCTTTGGTATTGTAGCTTCTCTGGAACGCAACAAATCTCTTAACTCTCTTTTGTTCTTTGTGGCCCCTGGGTCTCCAAGGTCTCCCAGTTCCATCAGTCCTTCAAGTCAGGTGAAATAGAAATCAGTCCCTTGGGAAGTCCTCTGAAAAACTGAAACATTAGACATACATTCCACTCTTCTCTTTCCCTCCCAAGTAAGAAGCCACAAGCTGGTTGCTTTCTCCCAACCATATGGAGCTGTGTTGGCTTTTGTCTACTGTATTATAAGTTGCTAGCGCAGCAACAACTTGCTGAGTTCTCTCTTTGTGCCTGCTGCAAGTGTGGCAAGGCAGAAACCAGTCCCTTGGGCAGTCCACTGAAAAGCTGGAATGCTGGATGTACATTCCACTTTTCTCTTTTTCTCCTGAGGGAGAAGTTGTGAGGTAAACATTTCCTCTTGATTTCATAGAGCTGTGCTAACTTGAGGAAGGAGCTGACTCAGTTAACATGAAATGGCTTTTCTTGGCCGGGCGCGGTGGCTCACGCCTGTAATCCTAGCACTTTAGGAGGCCCAGGCAGGCGGATCACCTGAGGTTGGGAGTTTGAGACCAGCCTGACCAACATGGAGAAACCCCGTCTCTACTAAAAATACAAAATTAGCCGGGTGTGGTGGCACATGCCTGTAATCCCAGCTACTTGGGAAGCTGAGGCAGGAGAATCACTTGAGCCCAGGAGGTGGAGGTTGCAGTGAGCCGAGATGGCACCATTGTACTCCAGCCTGGGCACCAAGAGTGAAACTCCATCTCAAAGAAAGCAAAAAAGAAAGAAAGAAAGAAAAGAAATGGCTTTTCTTACTCATTTCAGTGCAGTCCTAGGCTTTGAGCTTGCCTGTGGGGCTGTGAATTCCTAACTGGTGTCTGAAGTTCTTATAAAGGCTTTTTGAACTATATTGTTAAGTTATCATTTCTATGGGGGAGCTGCTATAGGAAGTCTGAGGCATCCTATTCTACTACCTTGCTGATGTCACTTTTGGCCTCCATTGTTTTTTAAATACAAGTCAGCTGCTATTCATATCATTGTTCCCTTGTGTGTGATGTGTCTTTCTCCCTCTGGCCACTTTTTTTTTTTTTAAATCAACTTTATTGAGGAATAATTTATATACAATGAATTTTACTCATTTAAAATTTAATGAGTTTGACAGTTAAACAGCCGTGAAACCATACCACAATCAATCTTTTATCCTCAAAAGATTCCTTGTGCCTCTTGTAATCCATCCTTCCCTCTTCCTTCTACACCTCCCCCTCAGGAAACCACTGGTCTAATTTTTGTCCATATAAAGTATTTTGAAGTTTGTATTAATAGAATCCTACAGTAGGTATCATTTTGTGACTAGCTTCTTTCACTCAGCATGGTGATTTGGAATTTCATCCATGTTTGTTGCTTTTATTGGTGAGTAGTGTTTGTTCCATTTACATGGACATACCACAGATGGTTTATCCATTCTCTTATTGATGAATATTTGCATTGTTTCTAATTTGGGGCTATTGTGAATAAAGTTGCTATGAATATTCATGTTCAAGTCTATGTAGACATAGACTTTTTGTCTTCGATAAATAACTATATGTGAAATGACGGGGGTATGTGGTGTGGTATATGTCTACTGTAGAAAATAAGTTGGCAATTTCTTGAGTGATTATCTTCTGTGGTTTTTTTTTTTTTTTTTTTTTAAAGATATTCTATTTATCTTTGTGTTTCAGCAGGTTGACCGTGATGTGTTCCTTTTGTCTTGCATGTATGTTGGACTTCTTGATACTGTCTCACAGGTCATTAAAACTCTGTTAAATGCTTTTTCCCAAAATGTTTTCTTTATATTTTTAAGGTTGGATAATTTCTAACCTTACTACTAACCTTAATCTACTGACCTGCTTTTGTCATCCCTAGTCCGCTTTTAAACCTGTCTAGTGAATTTTTTAATTTAGATACTGTATTTTCCAAATCTAGCATTTCCATTTGTTTACCTTTTTTTTTTTTTTTTTTTTTGTGAGATGGAGTTTTGCTCTTGTCAGTCAGGCTGGAGTGCAGTGGCGCGATCTTGGCTCACCACAACCTCAGCCTCCCGGGTTCAAGCGATTCTCCTGCCTCAGCCTCCTGAGTAGCTGAGATTACCGGCATGTGCCACCATGCTCAGCTATTTTTTGTATTTTTAGTAGGGACAGGGTTTCTCCATGTTTGTCAGGCTGGTCTTGAACTCCTGACCTCAGGTGATCCACCTGCCTTGGCCTCCGAAAGTGCTGGGATTACAGGTGTGAGCCACCTCACCTGGCCTCCATTTGGTTACTTTTTATAGTTTTTATTACTTTGCTGGGATTCCTCATTTGCTTGTTTTTGTCTCTTTTTAAAAATTCTTTGACATTCTTCCCTTCAAAAAGTAGAGCTTAGTTCCCCTCCATCTGAATGTGGATTAGACTTAGTGATTTTCATCTAAGAAATAGGATATGGCAGAAGTGATGCTAAATGATTTCTGAGGCTAGATCATGAAAAGGATAGTTTCTGCCTGACTCTCCCTCACTTGGATCACATGGGATCATTTGCTCTTGAGGAGGCCACCTGTCATGCATGGAACCATGTGGAGAAGCCCAAATGGGAAAGAACTGAAGTTTTCCACCAGCAATCAGCACCATCGTGCCAGCCATGTGAGAGCTACCTTTGGATGACTATAGTTCTGGTCCATGTATTAACTGTGACTTCCTGAGAGACCTTGTGTTAGTCAGGGTCCTACAGAGAGACAGAACCAACAGGACGTGTATATATAGAGAGGTTTATTTTAGGCAGTTGACTCACACGATTATGGGGGCTGGTAAGTCCAAAATCTGTACCCCAAGCTGGCAGCTTAGAGACCCAGGAAGAGCTGATACTGCAGTTCAGGTCCAAAGGCTATCAGGCTGGAGACCCAGGGAGAGCAGTGTTGGAGTTGAAATCTGAAGGCCATTTGCTGAATTTCCTCTTCCGCGGTGGGGGTGGGTTGCTGTTCAGTGTTGTGTTTTATTCAGACCTTCTGTTGGTTAGATGAGGCCCACACACGTTAGGAAGGGCAGTCTGCTTTACTCAAAGTCCACTAATTTAAATGTTAATCTCATTGAAAAACATGTTCACAGACACGTTCAGAATAATTTTAATTTTTCTTTTTTCTTCTGAGATGGAGTTTCACTCTTGTTGCCTGGACTGGCGAGCAGTGGTGCAATCTCACCTCACTGCAACCTCCGCCTCCTGGATTCAAGGGATTCTCCTGCCTCAGGCTCCCAAGTAGCTGGGATTACAGGCGTGTTCCACCACACCTGGCTAATTTTGTACTTTTAATAGAGACAAGGTTTCACCATTTTGGTCAGGCTGGTCTTGAACTGCTGACCTCAAGTGATCCACCCACTTCCACCTCTGAAAGTGCTGGGATTAGAAACGTGAGCCACTGTGCCAGTCCCAGAATAATTTTTCATCCACTCTTTGGGCACCATTGCCCAGCCAAGTTGACATATAAAATTAACCACCACAGACCCCAAACTAGAACTTTCTAGCTACACCACTGTTAAATTCTTGACACACAGAAACTTTGAGGATAATAGTTACGTAAAGTCTCTAAGTTGTAGTAAAATTTTTTATTCAGAAATGAATAATCTACCACTTTATAGTTTTTGTCAGCTAATTTTAGCATTTGATTCATTTGTTTCTGTTAGCTACTTCTTAATTCTCTTGAGTGTGGGCCATATTTTTCTGCTTTTTCACATATCCAATAATTTTATTGTATGTGCTACATTGTAGGGATTACAGATTATGTATTTTGTTTTAAATGGTGTTCTGGCAGGCATTCAGATAACTGGCAGAACTAAGAAAAGTCAGTATTCAGTTCTTTACTGCCTGTTGGCTAATACATGCAAACAGTTTTCTTTATATTCTGTCTCATTTTATAGTTGTTTACCATAGGAGGGCAAGTTTGGTATCAGTTATTTCATCATGGCTAAAAGTGGAAACCTCACCTATGATTTTTGAAACTTAATTTTTGTGACATATTCCTTGGTCACTTTTTTGACTAGACCCCAAGGCTATATAACATAATTACTTGATAGATTTTTAGCTCACAGATTCCATCTTATATTATCTTTTCTGGCTGTTATCCTGTATTCTAATAATTTAATAATGTCATTACTTAAAAAGAAAACTTTTCTTTTTCTTAAAATAGTGCTTAATTTGGCTGAGTGTGGTCACTCACGCCTGTAGTCTCTGCACTCTGGGAGGCCAAGGTGGGCGGATCACCTGAGGTCAGGAGTTTGAGACCAGCCTGACCGATATGATGAAACCCCGTCTCTACTAAACATAAAAAAGTTAGCCAGATGTGGTAGCAAGTGCCTGTAATTCCAGCTACTCAGGAGGCTGAGGCAGGAGAGTCACTTGAACCCTGGAGGTGGAGGTTGCAGTGAGCTGAGATCATGCCACAGCACTCCAGCCTGGGTGACAGAGCGAGACTCCCTCTCAAAAAAAATAAAAAAATAAAAAAACTTAATTTATTGCTTAAGCTTGTAAAATAATAAGCTTATTTAAGGCAACAGCAGAAGCGATTAGATTTAGAACCTATAAGCCATGCTGGAGTATTGCACCTCTGAGAATTAACTCCTTAATACCTGGCTCTCTAATACATCAGTCATACACAAGTGGAAATTTGAGTGTTTTTTTAATTTGTGATTTTAAAAGTTTCTTCTCATTCTTTTTCTCTTCATCCATGTTTTTGTTTGTTTGAGATGGAGTCTCACTGTGTTGCCCAGGTTGGGGTGCCGTGGCCTAATTTCAGCTCACTGCAGTCTCCACCTCCCACATTCAAGCAATTCTCCTGCCTCAGCCTCCCAGGTAGTCAGGATTACAGGTGCATGCCACCACGCCCGGCTAACTTTGGTGTTTTTAGTAGAGACGGGATTTCACAATGTTGGGCAGGCTGGTCTCCAACTCCTGACCTCAAGTGATCCACCTGCCTCCACCTCCCAAAGTGTTGGGATTACAAACATGAGCCACTGTGCCCAGCCCATGTTTTGTTTTCTAAACAAAATATGTGTGTGATATCTAATATATTTGAAAGTTTAGTTTTACTACCATATTACAGTGATTATAAATAAAAATTGATACCAGTGGAGGGAATAAAGTTTTTGCTGCTTGAACTGTCAGTCACATTATTTAAACTTTTGTTTTTTGAACTTGAATGCTTCACTATAATATAGGGAGAAAAAATATAATTAGAAAATAGTTGATGACAGCAAGTTTCTGAACTGCTAAGGAAAGCTTAGGTATTGGGGGAGAGGCATACCTTGTATTGGTATAAAGGCAGGAACTCAGTGTCCTTTGGAATCATACAAGAAGAAAATAAATACGGCTGAGAGGCTTCCTTCTCACCTTGTTTTTCTTTATGAAACGCTTGTGACAGTTTATGACTTTGGGGTGCTTCTCTTTGTTTATTGTGGCTCTGAAAGTGTGTACCTTATGATCACGAAACCTGGGAAATGCCTTTTCCCCAAGGGGCTCCCAAACCAATAATTA